GGGGAATCGGGGAAGGGGAACAGACAAGTTGCTGTCCTTTTTGTTCTTCAGTCTAGTTGTGGAGGATGTCACTTAACTGGCCCATGTTGGTATTGTGATCACTGCGCTCTTCCTGAGTGAGGCAGATCAGTTGCTGGCCATTGGACAGCCGCTCACGGCAGCTCACAGCAGCTCACACTGGCTGCTGGCTGCTCACGCTGGCTGCCAGCCACTCACGGTAGCTTACAGCAGCCCACTGCAGTGTATGCCGTCACCGGCAACTCATGGCAGCCCAGCTCCAGGTCTTAGCTGTAGAGGGCGCAGCGTCACTGGCCCTCATGTGGGATCCGAACCGGGGCCCTGCTGCTAGAGCTGGCGTCCCAAGCCAACTCTTAACCAACACGCCACTCGGCCGGCCCTAGATATACTTTCTATACCAACTATAAAGAAAGGCAGGGAAATGACTATAACAGTTTTCATGATCGGGGTTACTCTAGAGCTGGGAAGGGATGTGAGGACACACGGGTTTTGTGGGGTGCTAGCACTGCTCTATTTCTTCTCCCAGGTGATGGCTACAAAGGGGATTATTTATAACTATTTGTATTTAATATAGGTACTACACACTGTTTTGTATATATACTGTACTTTATAACTTAAAAGGATGCGGAAAAGAGTCATCCATTAAGAAGATGGAAGTAAAAGACCAAGAACCTTCAGGCTGAAATGATTAACCTGTTAAACCACGTCACAAACTCATCACTGTAAACATCAGATGTGTATTTTAGTCCATGCAAGGTAGCCCGAAAAAGTTTTCTAAACGTATCAGTAACTTTTAGTTCCAAAAGTAAGACTCATATGAAGTTTCTAAAACCTACATTTTTAAAAAAATTCAATAGAATCATTATGGTTGATCCCCAGGGTTAGGAATTCCGTACACATCGGCAATAAAACAGGTAAAAATCCCTGCCCTTATGTTACCTTCTAAAGGGAGAGACTGACAATAAACATAATAAGTAAGGGCATGTTAGAAAGCAGGCGCGCTAAGGGAGAAACACAGAGCAGGGGGAAGGACGAGGGGAGACGGCTGCATTTAAACTACGGTGGGGGGAGGAAGCTTTGATGAGAAGGTGACATGTGAGCAAAGGCCTAAAGGAGGAAGGAATTCATCGTGAGGATTCTGAGGGACAAGTGTCCTCCCAGTGGGTTCGGCAAGAGCAGAGCCTGAGGCTCGATCTGTTCTAGGAGCAGCAAGGTGGCCCGTGTGCCTGGAGCAGAGTAAGGAAGGGAGCCGGGGGACACACAGGAACTGACAAAAGTGACAGCAGCCGGACCCCGTGGGCTCGCAGAGCATTGGGAGGACGTGGCTTTTACTCTGAGACAGACGGGGAGCTGCTAAGGAATCAGGTGGAGCAGGTGAGCACCCCACAAGCTCCAGTTAGCTCAATACCGACGCCGACTAAACTCAGAGAACATAAAAATGGTTCGAGAAGCAAAATAATTTATGGCGAAAGGACTCAGAATGGTGGAGGCAGGGGTGGGGGGCCTTCCCGAGGTGACAAAAGTGCAGAGAATCTTGACAGAGAGCGGGTTACGGGGTGCGTGCCTGTGTAAAAAGTGTGTTATATATATTTTTAACCTGTGTGTATCACACTTAACGAAAATTATACCCATAAATATGAAATGTGCACAAACAGGGCGGTGACTCTCACAAAGTAATGATGATGATTACTTGCAAAGCGCTTTTGTTTTCTAGATAGGATGCGCATAACAACCCTGTGAGGTAGGTCCCATCGTTTTTCATTTTTAGATCATTCAAGAGCAAAGTTCAGAAGGTAAGTGAGTTGTCCAAGGTCACCAGTTAGCAAGTGGGTACTGAGCTCCAGTCCAGTGTCCTGCCCCCACACAGGCTGTGATGCTGCCACAAACTCACGTGCAGCTAATAACGGTGACAACTGAACAGGCCCCTCAGGGCCGCTGAGTCTCAGCAAGCTCATCTCTAAATGACATCAACCTAAATGATCACCCGTGTCCTCTCAGGTACAAACTCCTGTTGCCTGGAGCACTCGGAATGGAGTCAGTGTGGGATTTGAGGCAGAGTTGCGGGAACAGCTAGGCAGGACTGGGTGGGAATTGGGCCTTATCACTTCCACTGTTATTCATTCTGAGACTCATGATTTCATACATGGGGGTGATAATATCCACCTTGTGGGTTTGTTATGGAGAGAGCTACTGTATTCAAGTGACTGAACACAGCATGCCTAAATTCAAAATTCCTTTAAAAATTCACCCTCTTACACGGTAGAGATAAATTCTATGAAGCTTTATTCAAAGAGATTGATACATACCTGAAAGGAAACTGCCCCATTATTATTATGAATAGGAAAGGATTTCTCTTCCATTGCCTGAAAAGACAGAACAACCTGTTTTAGGATACTGGCAGAAAAAGTCAGCTAATAAAAATAAAATTTAAAAAAACCCACCTAAACACATTCTTCTTAAACCCTAAATTTGCTGACCTTTAAAAGCTCCCTGAAGATAAAATCCACCATCCTTTCCAGAAGTTTGAACTCCCCTTTCACAGCAAGTGGAAATTCTGCTCCACTCGCCTCCTTTACTCAGCCTTCTCTCCGCCTCTCCGTCAGCCCAGCACCTGTCGTGCTTGCTTCCACGTCCAGTCTTTGCTTCTAACAGTTTCATCCCCTTCCTTTTCTTCTTCCCCAAACAAATCCACCAAGCTCCAAGCCCTGGTGGTACCTCCTTCCAGAGGGCTCTCCAGGTGGCCCACTTCCTCTCCGCTCACTGTGTCACCCTCTAGCACAGAAATGCTGCACATGTCAGCACTCAATTCACCCTGAAATTGCTGTGTGTGTGTCAACATCACCTCCCCAAAGAGAAGGCAACTCCCTACATATTAGGTGTGCATTTTATGTGTATTGATAAAGATGAACTGGGCACTTTAAGGAAACGGATCAGGCTGGGAGGTCCATGGGAGGAGCTGAGCTCCTAGAGGTTCATGAGGCCACCTAGGTGAACTCGATGATCCTGACTTCCTTCTTGTAAAACCCTGTGGTTCTAACTTCCTGTCTCCCTGCCTTCTGTACCCTCCACCTTGGCACAGGAGCCAGAATGTGCCTGTGTCGAGCCAGGTCTGTGCATGCTGGTGCTGGGTTGCAGCCTTTTTTCTTTTTTCCTGAATAAGTCCTTTTTTGGTGATGGAATACTAAGTCGGTATTACTGTGCAGTAGACAGTACAGACCTGTACATGTGTACGTATATAAATACACATACACATAACAGAATCACAGTGGGTGGGCTGTTCTTACCTGTGAGTCCACCGTGCTTCTTTTAGGCTTTCCGCTCTCTAGAAGCAGAACATTTAAAAGGTGTTACTGCAAGGTTCAGCTCATATGTATATTATAGCAGCATTTTATGAGACTCTAGCTTGTCTAACATCAAATAATTCAAACAAACAAAAAGGTGAGGCCATATGCTGCCATCTCTTCTGATTCCAAGAAAATTCTTGAGCTGCAGAAGCGGCAAATAGGAACTATTATATTATAAATGCTAGCTGATAAATGATAACATTCAGGACCAACAGGGGAAGTCATCTGTGGATAACCTAGTGGATGTTATGGCCAGAGATGCCACATGGAGTGACTTTCCTTATTTTCTAAGCAATTACATTTGAAAACAGATCATTGCTTAAAATATGTATCTGAGATTTATTTACGCACATGGAAAACTTATTAGCAAGTCATATCGTACTTTTGTTTCCATAGCAAGGAGTGTTAAGATTGCTACTGGCTCCTTTCATGGAACAGAGAGGGCATCTGAGCCTTATTTTTACTTAAGATGCCCTCCATGAGGAAGACAGGATCTCAAGCCCCCTGCAGGAAGGGAGGGAGTTTCCTCCCAGGAAACAGTTATGTGAGCAGGAGGACCCTGGACAGGAGGCGGGACACAGATGTTAAACTCCACTATCACACAGATACAGGATTTCTTTGTGTCCTTTAAATTGCGTTAGTTTTGACAACCTGAGAAACAAATGCGTAAATAATACAGTACATAGTAAATAATCTGTAAAGAATTCATATAAATTATTAGACAGAAGTGGCAGTTAATGAAACAGATAATAAATATAAGTTGGTTAATCAACAAATGAAGAAAAAGTGTGGCCTAGTAATAAGAGTGAATACAAAAACCAAGAATGCCTTTTTTGTCTTTTGAGATTACACACACACACACACACACACACACACACGCACGCACGCACGCACATACACCCAGGATTGGTTAGCACATGTGATGTGGACACTAGCCCTACCATTTTCCAATAGGAATATAAATTCACACAACTCATTTGGAAAGGAATCGAAAGTAGGTATTGATATTCTCAAAAGTATTCATGTCCTTTGAACCAGATATTCCAATTCTGGGAACCCATTCTAAAGAAAGTTCTATATATGAAAACACTTCTACTAACAAAGAAATCCAACACAGCAAGATTTATAAGTTTAGATGGAAACACACATTATAAAACTTCTAACACGGAGTAAGGAGAAATGACTGTTCTTTTTCCACCTTCTCTATATTTACCACATTTTTCTTTAATGATTATGTATTTCCGTATAAACTCCCAAAGAAAACAATGCTAAGGTCATGTTTGTTTTTACTTAGGAACAAAAAAGAATCTATTGGGTTGTCGGAAAAGTCATGACGCATTTTTGCAATGAAAAACATAGAAAAAATACGTCATGGCTTTTCCGACAACCCAATACAAAGCCGGGCGTGAAGAAAATGCTAGTTTCCACATCCCCGTTTACCTTGTTTTTTCTCAGTCTGGCTGCCAGGTGAAACAGGGTCGCCACCAGCCTCCTGGCTCTGCCCAAGGGCTTTCTCATCCTTGCTGAAGATGATCTCTGGTAACTGGGTACCAACTTCTGGAGGAGATCTTATTTTCACTCTATATTCAAATAAGACAGAAGGAAAAAGGTTCAAAGAAACGCTTCTAGCCATTTCAGTGTTGCATGTTAGGTGCTGTTTCAAGCTCTAAATCCATCATCTCACGCAGTCCTTACAATGTCCTACCTACGTCTGTGTTTTACAGATGCTTTACGGAGGCTCAGAGGGTTAATACCTCACAGAATAGTGGGCTAGTAAGCAGCTGGGCAAGGACCCAGGCAGTCTCACGCTAAGGCTGACGTTCTTAGCGACCGCGCAACTCTGACGCACACATTTCCCCAAAGTATCTGCAGCGTGTCTCGCACACTGGCGCACAAGGGGGACGGAACACCATTAAGATGTCAAGTGAAGTCCGGGGGACCTTGAGGGGCAGTGGGACTATTCACAGCCTGAGGATATGTGTTTCCTCCCTCTTCCCTTCTTAACAGACCCCACTTTTGTTTACCCCACTCCACACGAGGAGGGACCAGTGAGAGTCCATGTCCGAGTGGACACGTGACCTAAGCTGGCACAATCAGGCTGAAGGGAAGCACTGACCAAGGAGAAGACTTCCTTTCCTCCCCTTAGCTGACTGTGGATAATGAACTCACTTTACCGCACACATGGCGCTAGTCCATGCTACTCTGCTGTTGTATAAAATGCTCCCTTTGCCTGAAATGTTTTCCCCTTTCTTCTTCATTGGTAAAGTCTATTTACTAGAGGGCTGGTTTCCTGAAGCCCTCACTCCTCTTCTGAGGTCAGTCTCTCTGCCCGCCTATGTCTCCATGTTGCTGGGATCACTGGGACTGCTGTTCTGTCACCTCCTGAATCTAGAAGCTCCTCAAGGAGGGGACCTGTGTCCCTCATCTTGTTTTTAACCTCCAGCACTCAGCACAGTATCTGGCACATGGGAGATGCTCAATGAACGTTAGCGTAATGACCAAATGCCCCTTTACTTCCCTCTAGGATTGAACTGAAGGAACATCGGAATTACTTACTCACTTCTGGAGATGTCTAGGATTAGAAGGGTGACAGAGACAACCTGTTGCCTTAAAATACAGTAATGCACATCTTCATCCTAGGAAAGGAAGACCCAGTTATATGCGACCTTATGCATTCACGCTAGAACAAGAACAAATAGCTTTCAGGAGTAAGGCCAATGGCCCAACGTCCACTCCAAACAAAACACCTGTGCATGCTCGGAGGTGCCTAGAAGTCAAAGCAGCCACCGCCTCAGGAAAGCAGCAGGACGGGAGCAGGGTGTCCCCACCCAGGGTCTTGGGCTCAAGTGAAAGGGGTGATCGGGTCATGCATTTAATGCTTACCAGATAGGAAGAAAATCCATCATTCTTTGTACGGTCCAGACTGAATCCAATCTAAGAAAGAAAGGGGTCAAAAGAGCAGAGGTGAATACCCACACGATGGCCGGGCGTCCGTCCCGTCCCTTCTCAAGAGAGCAGAAAAGGCCCCTTAGGCCTGGGCTCCAAGATTTCTTGGCATTCATTTTATAAGAAGGTCACTAATTATTAAGATCACTCAACAATGACAACTTAAGCGTTAAAGTGAAGCTATCTAATGCCTGCTCACAAGTCTACTTTTCTCACTATCCTGACACCTCCTATAGAGTGCGGGCCAAGGCGCTCACCTAGGCTCCAGAAACGGGTAAAGGCCTTGAGCTCCTGGAAAGGCACTTACAGTCGGGTCCTTGTGTGTGACTCCCTCAGGCTCCTTCACCGAGAGGCTGCTGACGTTAACCTTCATGTACCCGTCCTTGAAGAATCCAAAGGTGTTCAGGTGAACCTTATGCCTCACATCGTCCTGAAAAGGTTTACAGTGGTGGACTCAGTAACACGAAGACATTCACTTGATTATTTCACCGATTCATGGGCTTGAAAAGCTAGAATATCTAGTTTCCTGCTAGCTAACCAATGTTTCATATACTCAGTAAAATTCACAGCTGGGGTACCTTATTTTGTTCCAAAAGCTGAAGACGAGTCATCACAAATTCATAATATATCAACAGTTTTAGAGAAGGGAGCACACAACAGATGCAATTCATTCTGATGCGCTGGGAACGGTCCGGTCCCGGGGGCAGACTCGGTGGTCAGCTGGAATGCGAATTCCAGGGAAGGAGGAAAACAATGTTTTAGTCATCCTCGCATCCTTCCCGCTGGTACAAGGCCTGGCATCTAGTAGGCACGTAAAACATGCTGGGGGTGGGGCAGTGGCCCAAGCTGCCCCATGAATACACTCATTTATAGAAACCTTCTTAGGAGTTGTGTGTCACTGGCCCCTCCCACTGCAGGATGACGAGGGACACCCGCACATTACTTTCCTCACCTATAGTTCAACTTTTTACATACGCTCATTGACATCTAAAAGTGATGTTATATATGATGGATTTTCAGGAAACTAAACCTTAGGCAAAAAGAATTCCAGGAACCAGCCAGGTGGAGACAGGCTCTTTCAGACACAGGATAAGCCTGAGGTTTGTTGAAACTGCACCAGGTAAGCACAGGCCTATCATACCTGCTCGAAACGGTCTCACAGTGGTGACTCCAATCAATACACTTGAAGGCTGATAAAAACTAACTGGAATTTAAGCAAACATAATCAGTCGGGAGGGTCTATGGGAGGAGCTGGGGCTTATGGGAGTTCTCGCACTCTAGGAATCGCAGGAACCCTACAGGAAGAACTTTATTTTTATAATAACGCTCTATGGTTCTAACCTCACCTTCCCTTTTCTAACTTGTCCCTTCTACAAATACCCCTCCATCTTGGCACACAGGCTGGAGG